TTCCATCTGCCGCTTCAACCGCATACGTTCGGCCGCTCTGTTTGCTTCGGCCTCTTTAAAAGCTGGGTTGCTTCTCGCAACGCGCTTTGCCGCGGCATCCCTTGCTCTTTCAAGCGCCGGACAGCTATCTTGGCGCATTGCGGCGTAATTCACACCTGCAATCATTAAATGCGTATGTTCGTTGAGTATTATACATGTGCAGTACGCAGTAGATGGACTGTGAAATCTGCTATGTCTTACCCGAAGGCCCTTGCTCCGCAAAGTTGCTTCCTGTTGCTTCGCCACAGCTGTTTCTTCTTGCGGTTTCGCAGGAGACCGGCTGTGAAGCTGCGAAATGGTGAATCACCACATCGCAGCTCGCTCCATCACGCTGCTCGGGCGTCCCATAACTGTCCTGGTATATTGCGGAGAAATTCACATCTGCAATCATTACAGGTCTGCTATGCAAATCTGCTATGCTTTACCCGAAGGCCCTGGCTCCGCAGAGCTGCTTCTTCTTGCTTCGCCAGAGTTGTTTGTCCTTGCGAAGGAGACCGCTGTGAAGCTGCGAAATGGTGAATCTCCACACTGCAGCTCGCTCCCACACGTTGGTCAGGCTCCACATAACTGTCCTGCTGCAACAGGGACAAATTTATACCTGCAATTATTACGTATGTAATTTGAGTGAGTATTATACACATGCAGGACGCAGTAAATAGAATGTGAAATTTGTTATGGCTTACCGGAAGGTCCTTGCTCCGCAGAATTGCTTCTACTTTCTTCTTCACAGTTGATTCTCCTTTCCATGCCAGAGGAGACCAGCTGTGACACTACGGAACTGTGATTCTCCACATCACAGCTTCCTACCTCACGCCGTATTGAAGGTGCCATTCGGCGGCGACGTTTTCGCTCGGCATCGAGTTGCCGGCTCCTTTCTCGGCTGATTTGCCGTTCCGCCTCAGTTAACTTTCTTCTCGGCATGACAGCAAGACAGTAATCGAACCTTAAAAGCCAATTTCTGATACAGTCGCTAGCCATGTGCAGAAGGCAAGATTTTTGAATGCAAGTAAAAAATGGAAAGAGGTGGGCATATTAGAAGAGGAAGTAGTAGATCAGTGGAAAATCTAATAATCGTTCAAAAATTGGCTGCAAAAAAGATGTCCAGTTTAATTGGGGACCCTTCCTGAATGACACTGACCTGGAAACGTCGAACGGTATATCAACAAAAAAAAAAGCATCAGCTGCATTTAGCAGTCCGTTATTTCAGTAGAGAGAGAAAGTGTAAAATGAAAAGGTGTTGCTCATGGCGGAAACTCAAATTCGGGTATTTAAACACTATCAAATTCTAGAAACTCTCAAACTTCAACGTCTGCCCTAAGTGCTGTCTTCGCGAAGTTAAGATAATGTTGGTAGGGAGGGTGGAGAGAAGGATGCAAATGTGGGCGTCGAAAACGGAAGAATGACGGACGGAATCCTGGTTCTTACAACCCCTTTTCTCCGACTAGCGTGAAATCTTTCTGCATAAACCCATGAAGTCTAGATATGCTCAGGAAGGCGGAAAGAGTTGATGACGGCGATAGCAACATGTGGCTCCACTCTGACGCTGAATTCGAAGCCACCGTTTGGCTCCAGTGATGGGATAAGGTATGGAGTTGGAAGAAATTTATCTTGGCGGCTAAAAAAAGCGCCCGAGAATTCCTCCCCTATTGGAGGAGGGGTGTTGAGTAAATATGTAACATGACATTGACCTCGGCATATACACCAAATCAGGGATGACGGTCCCGAAGCCAAAAAATTGACCGTGTGAGCCATAACGGATCATCCAATAACTGGAAAAAAAAAGCTGGTACGAGTAACTTCTAGGGAAATTTCAGGAAAAGCACTCCCCTTCCCTCAAAAGGAAAGGCGCACTCGGGTCTCCTTTTCAAACGCCGAGAAAAATTTCTTGAAAACGCACATCTTATCCCAGCTTTGGAGACGAACGGTGATAGATGACGGTTGTGATATATTATGCAATTACTTACCTGTTGTAATTAAACTTGACCTGCCCGTTTAAGGGCGCTCATCAGAACACCAGCGCTCCCGCCGAATGTTATGTCGAAACTGAATACTAAATTTGAATTTCAGCCTAAACATAAGCAGCAAATTCTTTTTGCATAAAATCAGCATTTCGACTCGCTAGGCCACTGCTATGCGTATGAAGAGCCCAATGTTATACGGAAATTTGCATACTTGTCAAACAGCGTTCTACTTTTGTGTGCCTCATCATTTTCATTTGATCAGCATCGTTTTGCGGTTGCTTCTTTTATTTCATCACTTTGATACGGTCTGCGCCGTTTTAGCAGTTGTCTCTTTTAGCGTTGCAACTTTTATTCGT